TGAAACGTCGAGCCACGTTATTCTAATAGGTGGTTTGCAATCGCTCCTAATATTCTCCTTACGTGGCCATCATTGAAGGACTCTTTCTTCCGTTGTTTATGGTTGCCTCCCTTGTTTTCTTGTTTTTTTGTTTAAGCTGTTTCTGTTGATGTTTTGTGGCTGTTTGTTTTTTTATCGCACTAATATGTTGTAGTCTATTTTGGATTAGATATCCTTTAAAATTTCTTTGCACGACAACTTACTTTGGAAGTTGAGTTCATCTTAATTTAAGAGAGAAGTATTCCTAAGACCCTCATACCAGACCACAATCTTGAACACGGCAACTCTTCGTCTCCATTACCCATCAAAAGAAGTTTGGCTTTTAAGTAAAGCCCAGCCGGATGCCCATGCTCCTAAAACACCACGTAAAATTTATCATTTCATGGCTGAAGAATCAATAGCCGGAGGAGGTTTGAAACAGGAAATGTAACGTATTAAAAGAAAGCAACGCCACTTACAGAGTTCGCAAGGTCTGAAAAAAAATAGTGGAAGAGATATTATTTAGTCGGGTTGGATATATTGGGAAAGATTTCAAAATTCAAAGAAAATATGACGATTGGATTGAATTTAAATTTAATTGAAACTGTAGCACTAAAACTACGGAAGTTGGGTGACAAATGATCGGGGTCAAGGGTGGAATTAAACCAAGCATAGAACACGAATGTTCAAAACCAACCATTTAGACTGATAAAAAAAAAAAAAAAGAATTAAAAATACTTTATTCAAATAACTTTTCCCTACCAGCTGCATTAAGAGCCATTTGCCAATGTTGTTTAGAGTCCCAGTCAAGATATGCATTGGCCATGAGACGCAAAGTAGTAGCTTGCTGTAACCAGAAATTTGATCAGCACTACAAGTTTGAAGCAACGTGGAAATTAACTCTATAATTTACAGTATTCTATAGCTTTTTTCACTTTAAGAAATAGCTGAACGGCTGAGCATGCTCTTTTTTTCTTACTCGGACAAAGTAAGTGGATGAAAGGATAACATTTTACTTGTGAGTTAAAGGCGCTCACCCGTTTATTAGCTCCTGAAGAACCATTTTCTTTCCGAATATCGTAACTTTCCCTGCAAAAATTGTGAGTGAAAGATAAATTTGACCATGTTTCTAGGACACTAATTGTCATAATTACTCGGTGCTGCAATTTCGTCTTTTCGCCTATAATATGACGTACACTAAAAGAGTATTAAGAAGATCCTAAGATTCTAGATACCTATCCTATCTCCCCAAATCACTCGTTTTCCAACATTTGATTTGGGAAATGGTGACTCTCCAGTAGCTCACTCTCTATCACGCTGTAGATTACTGTAAGAAATCCGGAACGAATTGTCTCAAAACAAAAGTAGGCCAATCTCAGTTGTTTCCAAAATTTCACCTACCTTAACCATGCAATACATTTTTCGTATTCCTCTCTGTAATATGTATCAACCCCAAAATTGTAGCACAGTTCCGCCAGCGTAATGCACTTTTGTAAACAAAATTTAAGACGAAAAAATTAAGAAAATCAAAGCTGTAAATAGCCGCTCGATGTCAAATAGACCAACTTTAGATTGAACCTTTACCTCCTTTGCAGGAAGTCTGCCCATGAATTCTTTAGCTTTGGCTACATTCAATTGTGTTCTATCTTGCTGACACATTGAAAAGCTCTATTTTGCAAGAAAAAAATCAAATTATTCTTTGATGGATAACAAATATGCTAGCTGAGTAATTATAATTGCGGTTGCGCCATAAAAATGGGAATAGAGTGTCTTCAATAGAACTAAAAAAATGTATATTATATTTTCTCCTAGAACATGTCGTCAACCCTGCTACTTGTGTCTTTTTTCTATAGCTTTCCCGAACAGCATAAAGACTTCTCAGGGCAAATTCGAACATTTTGTATGGTAAGGAAAGCCGGAAAGGTTTCCTATGATTGATTCGGGAATGACTGGAAGGTTTTCGTTTTGGTTTCAATCAATGGCCACCACACATCAACTGTATTCTCTTGGAACGAAAAAACGTAAAAATCCAGAGGAACGTTAAGTTTTCCTGGATTCGTTATTTTTCATTAATATAATTATTTTGATAAACTGGATCACACGAAGAGTAGCGGTAAATGATATTCACCGTTTCTGCTCTATAACAGTAGACTCTGAACATGTATCGCTCGCATTCTGCGATCTGTTTCGATTGCTCTGGTGTAGGTGAATCATGTTCATCTCTTGATGACCACGACTTCTGCAGCCCATTCCAACACTGCAATTTTAACAAAACAGTCGTCTAAGATACCACCGTTAATACAAAAAAAATTAATCGTGTTTTCAAATCATAATATTCTTATGTAGTCTACAAACTTGCCTCAGTTGCTAAGGCAAGGCATTCATCTGCCATGGCTGGATTCTGACAATCTGTAGTACACAATTTGGTCGACATTGAAATATATGAAAGGAAAAGGAAAAGATAAAGGTATGATTGTTAATGATAAAATCCTTGTTCATCCCGAAAAACTTATTTATTAGGCTTTTCCTCATCGTCTTAACTAAACATAACGATGACTTTATCGATTTATCTTGCGCTCAATTACCCACTTTCCCGACTATTTCTACCCATGTTCGTATCAAATGCAAAGTTTAATTGTCTTCGTTTTATTTAGACGATTACCTAGGGATTAGTCACCTGACGGAAATTAAACTTAGACGTAAAAATTTTCTTGCAAAGTGAATGAAACTGCTATAATATTGAGTAAATATTTTTTCTCACCCAGCCAGGCTCGTCCTGTTTTCGTCGTCATCTAAAAGAAACGAGATTATCAAGTGTTGCATTATGAACAAAATTATTAATTCATTTAACTGGATTTACTTTGAATAAATTTGAGTTTTTATTTCATTTATAAAATTGTTACATAATTCCGTACCACTAACTGTTTCCGGTAGGTTACTTCACATGTTTCAGCAGCATTAGCAAAAAATGAAAGCTTGCAAGCTGCATGCCTCACTGAAAGAAAAAAAAATACAATTTAAAGCAATGGATTATTCCGCCAAGGAAGCCTTTTCCTCATATTCACTGGTCAGAGGCCCCTATTGGTAAAATCGCAACAGGATAACTGAGGGCGGCATTCTTATGTTCACACTACGCGAAAGAAGTGAAGGAGGGAAAGGGAGAGAAATTTTTGTGTATACAATTTTATATCCAAAAAGGTTTATATTGTACACCAATTCGGGTATTTTCCGAACTGCATTTTCAGTGTACTTATTCCAAAAAGTCTTTCATCTAACTTGAAATTCGTCTTACGGATGGAGAGCCTGATAAGGCTATATGTGATATGTAAGTCGTTGTGGATACTAGCTTCCAAAATCTTTCTTGAATATCTCACGACCACTCGCAGCAATTTTTTACGGTTAACCGACTCGGCTGACATTTTCAAGGTTTTTGGTTGAGTTTAGCGCTACATTTTGGGTCAGCCGATGTCAGCATAAATGTCGCCTGTTGTGAGTCGATCACTGGAAAAGGTTGCAAATGAAAGTCATGGTAAACTGGTAAAAGTGCGCAAATGCGGCTAGTCTAACTATAATACAAAGGAGTCGGTAATATTCAAGATTGAAAAAAATCTTCTCTTCATCCGAGCAAGCGAAGAAATCTGGCTTAATAATTTGTTACTCTTGCAGTTTCAAAAGCAACATCTCTTTAACCCTTTAACTCCCATGAGTGACCGAGACAGAAATTATCTTTACAATGTCAAATTGATGCAATTTCAAGCAGGCAAGTGATGAGAATAACGAAGATATCAGTTAGCTGATTATTTGTTGATCCGATACCATATTCTTCGAACAAGTACCGTACGAATTGTATCAGGACTATAAGGAGAATTGCTAATGAGATCTGGAAGTGGAAGGGTTAAAGCATGGTTGAGGTGGAACCTTACTTTAACAACTAAATTCAGGTTCAGGTAGTGAAAAGGAAAAAAATACATACATTTTGCATTTTCGGTTGTTCCAGTTTGCCCACTACCCGTCTTCATTGCCACAGCAATATTCCACAGAGTGACAGCATTGCTATGAATCTGTATCAACACTGCATTATTGTCAGCTCTTTCAAATGTAAGTTGATGCATTCTGCACGTCAGGTTTGTTATACGATCGGCCAACACTGCCACCCTCTCCGCACTGTTTTGATTTGAACGCAAGTCCTTCACGAGAGCTGGATGTAGGATAAGCGGAACCTGGTAAACGTTTTGCACTCAAGGAAAGAAAATTGTTGAGATAATTCAATTCAGTTAATTGTACAATTTATCAGCTCACCTTGCAATAGAGTTGAAGCTTTTCCAATGTCCTCTAGACCATCGCCGTTCATCTTAGAGTTTTATGCTGAATGTAAGCCAGTTAACTCTTGTAAATTTGCTAAGCTTGATGAAGCATCTTGTGGCCAAAGAAAAGGAAAACTTTACAAAACTCTAAAGGCTTTAATCCTATCTATAACTCTTACAACCGGGAGATCTCAGAGTATTGCCAACCGCGGGCACCAGAGAAAAAGGCGGGAAACCGGCTCGCGCGTCACTTTTGGCGCGAAATGTATCAACAGAAAACCAAGTACAGATTTGAGCTGCCGTTTTGAAGTTTACTTAGCCATCGAAACTATCTTGGAGGAATCCATTTTGGGGAAAACACACCACTGCCACTTCATATTCTTAATGGCCAAATTTCCACAAAATACAGATTGAAACTGAGAATTTCCTCATTCTTCGAGGAGAGGTAAATTAATAGAGTTCTCTAGATCGCACTAGAGAAATCTGTTTGAGAATATTCCCAGATTATATGCGCTTCAAACCAATCACAATCATTCAATTTGCTCATTTTTTTTTATCAAATGCGTAAAAATCACTTCACTTCAAGTCAAAAAGAGGCCTTTTTTACAAATATTGATTTCTATTAGGATGCGACAGTAAGTGGTTCTACAACCTGAAAAACAACGAAACCTCTCAAAGATGGCTGCGGATCCGAATCACTTGACGAATATTTATGATACCTCTCCACTGATAAACAACTATTGCACCACATTCACAGATGATCACAACCAAAGGTAGGTAGACATCTAAACTAAAAGCACCCTGGCTTGCCGAGAGAATGCAATTTTACAATAATTTAAGAATGTAAAACGATTATTCAGATTCAGAATTTGATTTGCAATAAAAATGGCATGTAGCTCTTGTTGTAAATTGAAACTCCAACGAATAGAAAACATAATATATTTTGGGGGAGTTTTCACAATGACTTGTGCATAATATTCAAAGTGTTAAAAATTGAATGATCGAAGTTGTAGGAAATGCAAAGAGGGTAGGACGACCAATCACTGAGTGGCTTTGAAATATAAAGCTGTCACATACCATTTAGGTTTTTTCCTGTCAGTTTTGCATCGCTGAAATATGTTTATTATTGTTAGCGTTCTTTTCCTTGCAAATCAGAATGGTTGTGGGGGAAAAAGATTAAACGACTGATCCCTGGACACTAGAATGTGTTATTTTTTTGTCTTGTAACATTATTACAACAATATTTTTGTTCGATTTTCAAATAGCTATAAGAAAATAGCTGACGATGTTGAAAATACTCAGAAGGAGGGGCACATGAAACCCATGTCAGATGAGGCCATGTCAGTATTCAGCTCTACAGATGATTCAGCTGCTGCCGCTGCGGTGTTCCGACATCTAGGTAAGAAGATGTAAAATATTTCTAATCAAATAGCTTTAAAAAGGCATATTTTGTCTTTTCACTTCTTCATAACAACCCCAACTCTTTCCTAATTTTTGAAGCAGCACCTACTACCTTTGTCGCTAGGTTCTCTGATTATTTGATAAATTTCTTTATCGATTAATATCGTCATTACCGATTTATCATTATCATTATCACCGTCGTTATTATTATTATTATTATTATTATTATTCGTCGTAGTACTAGTATAATTATTGTTATTCGTAGTAGTAGTACTAGTATCTTTATTGCTATATTGCAGGAATAATACAAATTGACAAAATATATAAGGAGACAAGAGGATGGGATTTCGTATGACCTTGTATGTTCGCTTCCATTTAACTTTTCTTTTGAACGACAGAAGGTTCAATCCCGCCGGCTCTTATGCATGTCCTTTGCATGTCCTGTAGGTTCCTGAAATTACAGAAGGACAGAAATATAACATTTTCACCATTTTTGAGAAGCGTTTACACTTAATTGATTTTATTTTTGTTTTTACAGATAACTTTGTGCGTGAAAGAATAAACGGAGAACTTGAAAAACTCAAACATAATGTGCATAGAATCCTGTCCGATCAACAACAAGATTTTGCGCGGGCTTTTGGGCTCCATGGTGAACTTTCTTCTTCAGAGGCAAGTCTTAAAACTCGAGACATTTTATAACAAAGAAAACACTCAGAAAGCAGAAGGATATATCTCTGGAAGAAGTTTGTAACTTGCATTCTCATTCTCCCTTTCTTGAAAAGGTTCTAATAACTGTTTTCTCCGTCAGTCACACCACCCTTTGAAGGAAGTGAGGTTCAGACAATGGAATCCTGGTATAGAGAACCTCCAAAAACATATTTCCCCTAGCAGTATGGTGGTCGAATATATACGAGATGAAGCAAGGCATTCACTCGGCACAGGGGAGTTGATCCACTCTTTTCAGTTTTCTTGATATTTTGATTGGATGAAATCTTAATACCAGTACACGAGAAGGGCCTAACTCATCTGGGTAAAATAGTTTTGAATGAAGATTGATGAAAAAGGAAAAAATTGCCTATGCGCGTAACAATTGGCAGAGCTTGTCATTTAAATTTCATCTGTTCATGCTGTTGCAGGTATTGGCATCCCATGTCGTCCCCCAAAATAACCATAGCGATGAAACAAGCTCAGGTTAGTGAATCGATGAGCTAATCCTCTCTCCATACATCATAATTCGTAATCATCGTCTTTAAAATTTTCTGTTTCCTTCATCAGAAGGTACACATCGCAAATGACTGCAGTTTTCTTTCCTAACAGATGGGTGTCAGTTTCTGGCGGAGGGTGACTCTGATTGTGATGCTGCAGTAGTTACACAGTAAGTGGCTTTTTAAATAATACACCTTGGCTCATTTCCCTCTCGCTTATTGTCGTTTCCTCCTTGTTCCTACTGGGCTGAATAAGTTTTTATCTTTATGGAATCAATGAAGTAGGAAATGCTGAGTTCTGATTAATGCACTTGCACAAGGCATGTTGTAGTAAGAATTGATAATGTATTAACGACGGTATTTTCGAATCCTACGGTGGTGGCTTCCATAAGGCTATATTGTGGTGAACCAATCTTTCTTCTCTTATCAACTAAAATTAAGGCGCGACTATAATCCACTTTTGTGAAAATTTGACTCAGAATATGAGGTGTGAGAGCCTTGACCTAAGGGAAGTTCCCCCCCCCTCCTCGAGAAACTGGAGTTTAAGTATCCTAATGTGGCTTGAGATTAAGTGTCTTTAATTCTGGCTTCCTACTCTTATTAACTCTGTTTTATGACTATCAATAACTATCAACGGTAAAATATATTGAAAAACTGACTATATTTACTTCTTTTCTTGACCAAATCAGATATGACTACAATGAACAAATATGTCCCAACTGTAATTCCTGCCTGGAATCAGCGGCTTCAGAGAATCCGAGTAAAGATAAAGAAGAGGAGAAGATAGCTATGAATTATTTGTTACGTTTAATGATAGCTTCTTCGAAATTGGGCAGTGCATTGAAACGAATAGAGTATCGAATGTAATGTAACAGTTTAACAGTTTGAGGTTCCAAGCACTTTGCCGAGTCTTTCAAATCGAATTAGACCTAATAAAAGCGTCCCAACAAAACTTCATATAACTCTCTTTCGTCTGCGGCAAGGTTGAATACTCTTAACTTTTAATACCTCTCTAACACCATTTGAGAAGCTGCATAAACGAAAACTATATATTTGTTGACACACTCCTGGTTGTAGGTGGCACCTGCGGTATCCTTTTCTTCTTTTTCCCTCTGTTTTCTAGCCTTATTACTCCCCGAGACAGATGATGAAGGTTACATAGATAGGCACTCAACACACAGCGCCCGCGATTTCCTACCGGTGATTCCCCTGGTTTGTCAAAAGCCTTAGACGTCGTAGTGGTTTTGTTATGTGAGAAACGCGCTCTTTTGGACGTCCTTAAAATGCTGGGTGCTAGTTGGTTAGCTGGTTTTGCCCTTACAAAATTAAGGATTCTGAATTTGACTTCGTCGTGTACGAAGGTTGCAGGTGTAAATGAAATTTCGATCCTTCGATCCTCATCAGGTAAACATGTGATCCTAGCCTTATCTCTCTTGATAGCCAATTGAAACGAATCGAAGGATTATGTGTGACTGTTTTTAAATGTTCAGTTAACAGAAATATTAGAATAGTAAAGGTTAGGAGCATTTTTGAAAGTGAACGCGGCAGTATCTCATGTAAAGGATCGTGACAATACCGTCTACAATATTCTCGATCATGACAATGGTTTTGTTACTAATTTAAATTCTCTGCATTATTCCCCAGCTTCAAGGTTAACTAGTCATGTTAGCAAAGCTATGACTTCTAAATCTTCAAAGCCTCCGAACATCCTTATATATACTGGAACTTATGACACAGAAGGCAGGAGGTTCACTGAAGTTAAGAGGGCACTGTCACAAGTTATAAATCTGCATAGCTATGTAATATACAGAATTTATGAACAACAGCTCACCACCCATCCATGGGTCGAAAACACTGCTCTATTGGTTCTAGGAAATAGTGACTCAGTGTCATCAAAAGTTCAAGAAGTGTTTTTGAAGTATCTTAAATGTGGAGGACAGATTCTAAGCCTGTGTAGTCCATTTACGTGTCAAGTTGTCAAAAAGCCCTTGGATGAATACCAAGAGCCTTTCATTGGATCCTTCAGAACAAATCAAGAAGTAGTCTCTGAAGTGAAGCTCCATTTCTCTGCACTTTGTCAGCCTTATTATTTTGAAGGTGAGCGGTTCTGAGTAACTTAAACCCTTATGTTTAAAATACAAGGGATTGATTTTATTTTTTTCAATAAATACAGGTGAGAGAGTGAATATTATTGCAGAAGAAGAAACTTCGCAGCGACCAGTTATCATTCAGATCTCCGAAGGTTCTGGCAATGCTGTGTTTAGCCTTGTTCATTTAGAGTCACTTGCTGATAATGGAAAATTAGTCAGTCTTGAGCAAGACACACAGAACTTAAAAAGCTTGAGAGAATCCAGTGATGCCAGAAGGAAGATGTTGCTGCATATTTTAATACTACTAAAATTAAGTTTTAAGCCTCTGAAAGTGCCAGAACTGACTCCACTATTCCTTCTTGGAAATGAATTGGTAAGCTTCTTTTCATAAAAATTTGAAAGAAAAGTAAGGAAATAAGATTAAAAAATTATTGCCTTGTAAGTCAAAAATTTTCCCCCTTGCTTTTCCACTGACATACTATAACAAAATCAAATAAATTGGAAATGGAGTGCCCTGTAAGTCTTATTGTGAAAATAAAACTATTAACTAACTTTCACCTCGTATTACAAGAAGACATCAAGCATGTGACCAATATGATATTATAAGTTAAACCTATTCTCTAACTCCTACTCAATCTGCCATGGAAATATCTCTATCTTTACCATGCCACTTACGCTTGCCCAACTTTCTCCAAATAATAACATTTTAAGATATATTTCATGTAACAATCATGGTTAAATGCTATTTGTCTCTTATAATTTAAAGGATAAACAAAAACTTATGCAGTCTTTAAGATCATCACTGGAGGACGGCATCTGTAAAGGAAACCAGCTCTCACTACACTTTGTGGCAAGTGATGAAATGCATATTCCAAATGTCACAGAGGAGAAATTACCAGTTATCTGTCATGAGGAAAACTCTAAGGCTGTTTCTTTTAACTGGAGCACCTACCAGAAATACTTAAAAACTAAAGTTTTGGGAAAAGTTGTCTTCTACACTGATGTAATCACATCCACACAAACAATCTTTGATGGGTTAGTATTTGTCATCTGTACCAAGAATAATGCATTTTTTAATATGAAAATTAAAAGTGCTTTTCTTGAATAAGCTCCTCCTTCGTAAAAGTGCTTCTTGAAGATAATGGCTGACCTTCAACAGGCTCAGAAGTTAAATTATTCATGAAGTGCCATGCATAAGGTATTAAGTGTGGATAAGTTTTCTAAGTACACCTGTTAAAAAGCAGGCTCCTGTCTCTGGACAACTGAAATATCCTGAAACAGTTTTCCATGTTTTATTGCTCAAAGTCATACTCTATTCTCACTACTCTTTGTTTTTTCTTTTTTTTTTTAATTTTATTTTAATTTAGGAATTATACCTTTACTTCAAATATCCCTGAAGATGTGGGGATGGTTGTTGTTGCAGGACAGCAAGTTAAAGGCCAGGGTAAGCCATGTGATAATCTACATGAAAAAATTGTGTGTATCTCATTGGCTGAAAACAAGTCCATTTTTCAGGTAACACGAGTGCAAATTACAAATAGCATGCATGCTGTCAAAATTTCATCTCTGTTAACTTTCTGTGATGCTTTTTTTTCACATACTAAATTATCATAAAGTCACAACATGATTCATGTGTTGTCTTTGAAATATTTGCTTGTGCTTATGAACACTAAATTGCACTCAAAACCATGTTGTTAACTAATTACAAATGTTAGTGAGCTCATGATAATCTTAGCAAAATCTTGGCATAAACAGTTTGAGGGTACACCTCATTTGATCTGGATTCTTAAAGTTCCATTATGATAGTAGTTGTTATTATTATACAAATGTATCGAATTGAATGGGCTTAAAATTTCCCCTTTGGTTAATAATGTAAGTAGGGACCTAGTGTATTAATTAACATATTATGTATTAATTCATATTTCATCACAGATTGCATTTGTGTCAACGTATAAATAAAACTTAATTTTTTTTGCATCAAACCACAGGCCGAGGTGGAAATGTGTGGCTGTCTCCATCTGGCTGTTTAATGTTTTCCCTTCATGTTAAAATTCCATTTGCATCCAACCTTGGTAGAAGACCACCCTACCTACAGCACATTGCTTCACTGGCTGCTGTGGAGGCAATCACATCTCAACCAGGATATGAAGTAAATACATAAAACAGCTGCTGATAAATACACTATGACAGAAAGAAATGCTGAATTGGAGATGATCAACTATTTCATGTGGGAGGAAATAAGTACATCCTATCTTTAGAACAATAACAAACTTGATATTCTGGCTGCATCACACTGAATGCAGTTGAGGGTGAAGAAATCATTGTCTTCACAAACCATTTATCCCTTTTTTTTCAACTTTATCTGAAGTTTAAAGAAATCTGAATCTGAAAATGGAGATTACTATTTTTGTTTAGAATATTTATGGTGGTTTGAACTATTTCATCTTTTGTTTCTTAGTTTTAACATTTAGGCAAGGACTGAGATGCCTGAGATGTTTTTAATATTTATAAATGTGGATATTACTGTAGAAGTCATTTGACTCACAGTATGTTTGTTTCTTAACAAAGGATATCAACATCCGCCTCAAATGGCCAAATGATGTTTATTTTGGCAATAAGATTAAAATTGGAGGTGTTATTGTGACATCATCAGCAACAGATAACATGCTGAGTGCTGTGATGGGTAAGTGTTGCTGTGTTTATCTAAAAGTCTACTTTCATTGGTAGCTCCAGTTGGTTAATTTTAGCAACCCAATTAAGTGCTGAAGAGATGTATCCATCAAAACACTTTCCCATGCATATGCTGATTCTATTGTCCAAGCAAAATACAGTAATATGTAGCCAAAGGGTCACGAAAAAAAATGGTCTGGCTGATGAACCTCAAAGTTGGTTGATTTGGCCACTTTAAGCTCACTAACTGTTCAAAGTAAGATTTGAAACTGACAACAGGAATATCATTTGTTGGAATACAATTTGTCCAATCTATTTGATCAAAAGTTTTTCCTTGAATCACGACACTTCCAAATTCTGTCAATTTAAAACAGAAGTTCAGGCTAAGGTTATATTGACTAAGGAATTAGTGGCATTCTTCATTAAATTATTGTTTTTCTCACTTAGGAATGGGAATTAACATCAGCAACACAGAACCTACCATCAGTGTTAATGAGATCATTTCACAGTATAATAGTGATCGTGGGACTGACCTAAAGCAGCTGACTATGGAAGAGATGCTGGCAAGAACAGTCAACAAAATAGAAGCCCTTATTGAGGACTTCCAGGAGAATGGTTCTGCACCTTTCCTGAAAAAATACTACAACCGCTGGCTTCATAGGTATGTAATAGGATAATTTTTGTTAATTATATTGTATGCTGATGGCTGGTCAACAGTACATGTTATATGGTCACTGTTAATTTGGTATCAGACTGAAAATATTAGTCACATGAGAAGGATAAATTTCACACCAATGTAAAATTTGTATTATTGATGAGGGATGATATCATCTAGGTATCACACTGTTAACTGCTAAATGTTTTTTTTTTTTCAATTTTACAGTAGGTGAACTAACAGTTCAGAATTTTTTGTCATGTTTTGATCTTACAAATTTGACCCTTTGAGGATCTTACCTACCAGTTATTATAATTAATGCTGAAAAATAACTGCACAATCAAACTAACATTAAATACTATCAAATGGAACAATGATTGGTTCTAAAGACTGAAATTTGTTTATTTTAAACTTGTGTAAAGTAAGTCATATGACATAAAAGATAATGTAGTTGTGGCAAATAAATTTATAATGTCTCAAATTTTAAAGTACCACTTTTCAAAGACAAAATAGTGCCAGCATATACAACCTTAATTGCAAGCCTGACCCCAGTTGTTTTAAGGGTGGATAATGCTATCTACTGGATAAATCTCTATATCATGGATAGTGCAGTGTATGATTTGTTAACATTTATCCACCCAATAGCGATATATCTGTTAGATAGCTTTATCTGCCAATTGAACAACAGGGCCTGGTACTTTAAATTAAACTACGTATTCTTGAATCTATTTTCAGTGAAGTGACTGTTAACCTGTCAGTGAATGACATGAAAGACAAGGAGGAAGTGATGATAATAGGACTTGATGAATTTGGTTTCTTATTAGTGCAAACCAAGTCTGGTAAATTATTATCAGTGCAACCAGATGGAAACACTTTTGACATGCTGAAAAATCTAATTGCCGTAAAAAATGGCTAGCAACATCAATCAACTTTAGGCTTGTACTTCTTTTTTAAAATTACAATTGTTTGATAGTTGAAATTTTACAAGATTTACTGTGCTAGATGGGAGAAGCACCTTGGATTTCAAGAGACAGTGATGTGCCATAAAACAAGATGTATTAAATTTATTAAGACCTTTAAACTTGGCTCACCAAGATTGTGTTCAAAAACAAATAATTCATTAAAAAAGGTTCTCTGTTAGACCCTTTAGAATTAAATTTAGTAGACTAAGTTTTAGTTTGTTTGACCCATCTATAGTATTTTTCTAGTCATGTAAGCTGTGATAGTTGAGTGTATTTACAAACAACTCTAGGTTTTTTTTCCAATTTTATACACTTCAAAAATATGGAATAAATATGTATGAATTCAAAGTAATATAAGCTGCAGTTCTCAAATTCTAGGTATTCAGCTGGATGAAGTTATTTAAATATATAAAATTGATCCTTCTTACAATTTGAAAACTTTTTAATTAAGAGAAATTGTTAAAGAGAAAAATAGGCTACTTCTGAGCCCTCGCTTGGAATTGAGTTAAATCATTTGCTTAAGCATGACAGGCTTTGTGCATCTGAAGGAACAGCCTGTTTTGTTGTAACATGTGATGTACTTGCTTCAGAGTCTTGCTTTCATGTACTATACATACTTGTGTCAGTACTTTTGGGAATAAACTCACTGAGGTTTCATAGCTATTTTAGGTCTGCCAAGGAATATGCTATGGCAGCAGTAAGGAAGGGATCCCACCACAATTACCAGTTATACTAACTGGAGGGCACACAGCATCTGAAAGCAAGAGTCTGATTCAAATACACCCCATGTTAAAACTTAACAGAAAGTGAATGCTGCAAAGGTTAAATCAAGATTGATCAAGGCTTTCTTTGTTTGGGAGATCAAATACTATTGGTGGATGAGACGGCCGGTACTGGATTGTTACTGATGAGGCATTAACAAATGTTGTAACTCCATCTGTAGTTATTCCATATCCTACGGAGTACAATTGAAAAATGTTATTCTTACATCTGTGGACTAAATGATTATTGAATGTCATTATATTAAAAAAATTAGGTTAAAAGACGTATTCAGAATTTAACAATTATCACATCATTTATTCTGCTAATGCTCAAAACATCAGCTTAAGAAACTCTCACCAGTGGCCATTTTAATTAATGTCACCTCAGTTTATAAAACCAAATTGTCTTGTAATAACCCCTGCCAATACAACAACACGGTTTCTTTAGAAACTTACTCCATTTATTGTGTTTGTTTGTTTGTCAAGGTTTATGAAAAAACCCTTAACAGAATGAAGCCAAACAGACCATAACTTTAAGGGTTTATTATATGATAAACCAAATACTTCAAAATTTTTTGCTTTTTCATCTGCCAGCCGGTATCTGATTAGAACACAGAATTTACTTCACATTCAACTTTCCTAATCATGGAGGCAGTGAAACACTGTTTATCACAGTGAATGTACAGTGCAACTATTACAATAACTGAGTCATACAAATTACAACCTGAGGTTATGTTTTATATGATGTTATATACCTTCATGAATATGTCCAAAAATGTGATACTTGGGCTTGACGCGAGACTGTATTGTGTGTAAGAGATTAAGACATCCAGCTCTTAGCTTTGAAACTGCAAGATCACCATGACCTATAAAGAGTAAAGTAACACTTTGAGGCTGAGAAAACAGTGAACACTTTGTTTGATATAATAAGTCAATTAGTTACGGGAAAATTATATGACTGTGCAATACAGTTCAAAGCACAAGTAAAAACCTTCACACTTAAAGCTAATTACTGGAATGGGTAACTTTGTGGTATGGTTTTCTCACACCTGTGGCTTTTTCTTTGGGACACAATAGTATTCCACCAATATTTCTTCGACTGGTTTTTATGGTTTTTTGAGCTTCACAGAAATGTAGAGTGATAAGGGAGCTCTTATTGCTAAATTATCACTCAAATAATAGTAATTTTAAGTGGCCTAATCCTTGAACCCCTGAGAGTGACAAGCATCTGATTTATTCCTACAGTCTCACTGCTGAATCAAGCATTAAGCTTGTAAGGATAAAGGAAATTATTACTACAGTGAAGCTGAAGAAGCTTTTGATTGTCAAACAAATTTTCCTCATCAAAACAAGAGAATATGTGATGAGAACAGTATAGAGAATAGGCACACTGATGTAGGGTGTTAAGGATTTGAGCAAACTACAGTACCTAAGGGTGGGCCATGGGTCACAAGGATATCAATGCCATCTGGGATTTTGTTCCATGTCTCCTGCATTGGCTGACCACGAGGCTTCATAAAGGCCCAGTTGCAAAACTCAGGTGACCTAGAATTGTATCAGAATATAAATCTGTTGTAGTAACTAAAGAAAGTATCTAAGGCAAACAAAGCTTGCACCTTACTTATCGCCAGTTGAAGGAAAATGAAGAGAGGAAATTTAGAGTTAGAAATACAACAAGGTAAAGCAACATCCAAACCTAGAGATCTCTCAATCTCCAGTTGATTTTCTCTCCAAGGAAATTCCTCTGATGGTAATAATGTACATGCAAACACCTATACTGCCCTTGTGCTGCCAAGCAGGACATCAGATGTGGTGTCATGTAAACTAATGACAATTACTTTGAATGTATTCATGCATGTTATGACCCATGTAATGCTTGACTCCCCAAACAAATTTGGTGTAATTAATGTCCTAGGGAATTATCATCTAGGAGCTTGTTTTGTTAACACTTGATAGACACCTGAGTCACAAAAACCTGTATTTGAAATTTAAAAAAGCTTTTCAAGACTGGTTTATACCAAGCCTCTCCAGAAATGTGCTCTACGCCTCTTTTAACTCAAGCCTCAGTATCTCACCATGGGGAGCCATAAATTCGAAATCCCCGCACAGTTATTTCCTCGTCTTCCAAATAAATGCAGTTTGTAAGTTGCTTCCGAGTTTCCTCAGGTTCCTCTCTGATCTGTGTGAAGTTTGACCACAGAGAATCGTAGCTCTTGAGATCAAACGAAATGTCATGATTACCAGCGATGACAACCTTGTGAGGATGATTGAGTGTCCCTAAAAATCTGTTGAAGTGGATCACTTGATCACGGGTTCCACAACTGGTGAAATCTCCTGCGTGAATTAAGATATCCCCATCGGGAATAGCATGTTCCATTCTATCCGTTCTGTTGTGTGTATCTGAAATGCAGACAAATCTTGTGTGCCCAGGAGGCTTTGGGCTTCGTATATCATTTAGCTTTAGCCTTTCTACAACTTGAGATGACTCGAGAAGATTCCATGCAATTGTCGGACGATCCACGTATTTTTCGAGGGCATGTTCCACAGTAACACCTCCATCTTGCTTAGCTTTCGCCTTAGCCAAAATCCTCTTCATTGAAGTTTAAATTACCGTCAGTATGTCCAAAATTAAATATTGATTACAACTAAACTTCTGTGAACTATTTAGATTCTTCCGCCCTGCGTGAGCAAAGTTTCAGCAGGCGCAGGCTATTGGACCGCGGGAGAATAGAACCAGTCTGCGATATTTTGACCCCAATCTTCTTGATTGATTATTCAACACGGCCACTTCTATTTAGCCTTCTGCGCGTGCAGGCATCACCCTCATCGTGAGTGCTGTATTTGTAACATTTCCTCATATATCATCTGATTTTGATTCAGCATTATGCCCGCAAAAAAAGCACCAAAGGATACAAAGGACACTCAGGCTGCGGCCAAGGGTGCGGGAGGTTTCTCCGCATTTCAACTGCTCATATTTGTGATCGCCACTTCATCTATGGCAATGAATTTTGCCATGATCTACGGAGTTATTCCTTTACAAGGTAAATTTCGATACATCCCTCCTTTACGCATACGAACTATTTCTTAGATGCAATTTCCCTTTGTGTTCCTAAAATATGGGCATCCACTTTTTTCAGCGAATTAATACAGCAGTGCACGCGAACAAATGGTCGGCCCGCTAAGGTTAAGGAGCCATGTAGACAAATGAAACTTTATCTCTGTAGTCTAAAAATCTCTAAAATTTACGTTAAATCTAGAAAGATCCTGTCCTAATTTGCATCCTTCTTTTTTTTTTTTAACTGTATTTTCTTGCAGGATGCGATGGTCCCCCTGGAAAAACCGGAGAACGAGGTATGGAACATTTGCATTTATTTCCTAAGAGGATAAATTAATGTGTGGTTTACGATGAGAGGTAAGCGAAGCTTTTGTAGTTATTGTGATATTATGACACTAAAATTTCCTTTTTATTTGAAATTAGGACCGGCTGGTCCCCAAGGAATGCCTGGAGAAGCGGGTAAGTGATTTATTTCGTGGACCCGTTTGTTTGCGCAAGCAGCCTCTTCCTTTATCATATGGATTTCTCAATTCAGAGTTTTAACTGGATTTCACTTTACACTATTAGATCGAGACTTTTATTCCTTTCTTTCTTATGAAATGGTGATCCTGCACAGCTTGATTCGATTTCCTTTGTTTCGAGAAGAACTAACCGGCTTCGATGCTTTTAGTGACCGTAAAATTACCGTGAGATGTCACGCATTAAAAACGCTTTACTTTAAAATTAATGTAAATGACACTGAATTTATTCCAAGTCGAATAACAACCCCAAAGTTACAAGAAGAAGCCAATCAAATGACAAACGTGTCAATTTAAAACTTTCATCAACAAGTTGCGATTATGCGCTCTAAAAGAAACCTTCGAAAACCGTTCACGCAATCTTCATTGTGTCACGAACTCTACGATTGTAAACGTGGCACTGGCAAGCTTTCTGCCTAACTATCGATTATCAATGCCATATTGTGCTCAAAATGGTATTAATAAAGCAAACAGGGAAACTTAAACTAACTTTATTTAAATATTTATTTGAAAAGGACTTTTTGCAATAATTTTCTTTAATGTATTTACAGAACGTGATAAATATTGACTCAGCCGTTCCTTAACCATGTCAATGGATTTGAAGCGAAATCTAAGATTAAAAAAAATTGTAAACGTTTGAGTTTATTGTAAGACTGGCTTGATATTTTCTGATGAGAATTATCTACTGATCTGGTAAAGTGTACTTTAAAAAAGTGAATTAATAAATAATTCTTAATTTTTTTGCAACCTTAAGAAAGCAATTTTTCTGTATAAAATTAAATTTGATATAATTTGATTTACTCATCTTCCTTTGAAAGTGAAATCAAATAAATACAATTTCCCAGTCTGAAATGTAACTAATCTGATTAGATTACATTTTAAGTTGTTCATTGCCATGAGTATTTCAACCTAAAATTAAACACTTCTAATTCATAAGACTGATAACTGTATATCAACCACTCTTTATGGAGGCTAGTGAATGTTCTTCCTTTACACATCTTGTAACATATGATAAAAGCTAATACCCCTTCTAAAACAATACAAGTCAGGGTTAGAATTTCATAGCAGAAAAATAGTTTTTTTGTGGTACCTAGACTTCCTGAAACCTTTCAGGCATGTATAGGTTGACTTGTTGTATCTCTTTCACTGCTTAAGGTGATTCTAAAGGGATTTCTCCTATATTTTGAAGCATAAATATGTCAGATTTGAAGTATGGTTTGATCAAACACCAACTTTTTTATTTTTATTTTTTTTACACTATTAAGCTTATCTTAGAGTCATTTTTTTAGCCCTGTCTCTAATGAACCAGACTGATAGAAATGGAAACTTTATACAGGTGTCCCAGGCAAAATAGGTGAGAAAGGTGCCCAAGGGTATCCAGGAGAGAAAGGTGACAAAGGAGACCCTGGGGAACAAGGCTTCAAGGGGGATACTGGACCCAAGGGGGATGAAGGACCCCAGGGGGAAAGAGGGATGCAAGGTATTCTGTTGTCTAATATTTGGTGACATGTTTTGATAAAAAAAAAATTTCCAAAGGTGGCTAAACTTTAAAAAGAGATTATTCTATTTTTCTCTATGTTGTAGACATAGCAGTGTTGAAAAGCTATTTTGAAAAATATGTATTACTTTTGCATAAGGGAGCTGTCAGAAAATATAACAGAATATTATCTTGCTCTTCTTAAGTTCTTAAAATATTTTCATATATAAATTGGAATTTATTTTATAAATAATCCACTGTATAAAGGATAGATAATCCACTTAAATTAACTGTCTATCAGACAGCCGAGTTTTGACAAGTCATAATATTTAATGTTAAGTACCACAAAACCTTGAGTGTAACTATCATGTTAGGAAGCACCTAACAATTAACATTAAAAAGATAAAACTCAAAAATATTTTACTTGAAAGCCAATGATGGTCACATAGAAACCTTCCCTATGGAACATTTGGGGATACTTTAGGTGCACGTGGTCTAACAGGTGAAAGGGGTCCAAGGGGACTTGCAGGCGAGAAAGGAGAGACAGGAGCCCCTGGTGAAAAGGGACCCCAGGGTGAAAAAGGTCCCAAAGGGGATGTTGGAGACAAAGGTACTCAATCTGTAAGATTTGAATAATTTTGAAAACTCATTAACTTTAAAGTATTTTTTATCTGCTTTTTGTGTTAATTAAACTTATGATTTAAAAGCTGTCAAAAATTAAAAAATCCTTAAATAATAAAAATAAAAGTCTTCTGTCACCTCTTATACTTGTTGTTTTATAAAGTCTTTGAAATGAGAGGTGCAAAAGTTAAAACTGAATTCTATTGCTATTTGCCCTTGATTCATAACCAGCACTCAATTCCTCCATTTTTTTAAATAAGTTTTTTAGCTAGTGTAAGTCCTTTGATGGTAAGTATATTAATGAAACAGCCTGTTTTGGCAGTATGATGTAATCCACTTGAGGTTCACTTTCTCGTATTTTATTTATTGCCACAAACATGGACCCAATGAATCACAATGTTCATTGTTGTGACCAATCTCCATTACTACCATTACTATTACTATTTTTTCTCTTTTGCTGTGAAGAATTCATTATTTTTACAAGATTTGGGCATGTTTTGTAGCCAATGCTCTATTAGTCAAAAAAAATCATGTTGATGGAATAGATTTGGTTCTTTTTAATAGAGTTTGTATCATTGTTTCACATTAATTTCTGCAATAGAATGTCTGAAGGCAGTATTTTTAATCTAACTGAGTTGAAGAGTAAGTGACCCATCTCAGTAAGGTTCTTTACCTTACTTTCAAGCATGTTTTGATAATGCCCCTCAATCGCAAGAACTTAGTGAGGTACCTTGTTGATATCATGTTCTCTGTGATGTTATTGAAGGTCCAACTGGTCAGACTGGCCCAGCAGGTCCTGCAGGTCCACAAGGGGAGAAGGGTAAGTGCATTTATTTCACCATATATAGTAATGTTACTTGCAGACCGGAAAAAGTGATATGATTGTTAGCCTGAGTACCCAAATTATACATGCCACATCTTAAACGTGTCTTGTAGTTTACCACTGTTTGCATTGGTATGCACACACTATTGAAGATAGTTTATGTTAGAAGATGAGAAATTTGAATTTATATGAATCATAATAGCAAACATGTCAGAAACATACAGAGTAAATAATCTTCTTATTACATAATTATGGGTTTTAAAATGAGCAGTACCTACAAATACACCCTTAAATTTTGGCTTGGTCTGGTATTGATTTTTGTTTTTTCTTATTTTCTTTTCTACATCAGGTAACACAGGTGCAGAAGGGCCACAGGGTCCCCAAGGTGTGTTTGAAATACCTGTTGTTGTTTCTTTTAAAGCCCTCACCACTGTATTTTTGAGCTGTTGCAAAGGAAATTTAGCTAGCTGCAACTCCACAATTTTCCTTCTCATTTGTTCAAGTTTGAACAATTGTTGCAGTGGGCAACTTGGGCAGTGTTCTCCCTTATTTTAAGCATGACAGGTAAAATAAATTTTCAAACTGGTAAAGCAATCCTTTTACCTGTTGAATTTTCAAGAATTCCAAGTAATTTTAAACAGTAATAAGAGGTACTACAGGCAGTAAATGTTACTGGTTACTGCCTGAAAAGGAGAACACTGTTGGGATATTAATAATGAAGTGACAAGCGATGAGATAGTGGTTAGGACCGTTATTCCTTGAACTCCTAAGATTTGATTGTTAATTCTCCCTTCTAACTGCTACACATTTCCTTGTTAATTAGTTTCAAGAATTTTGGTGTTAGATCAAGATAAGAAATTCTATGTGATAAGTTGGAACTGGATAATCTATGGATATTATAGAGAGAAGTTACATATTAATCACTTCTGAGAGTTGAAGGGTCACAATCATAATTATTTACCAGTAAGGTGTACTGCTAATATTCTCGAAAGCATCAATACCATCATTGCCCTCAGGTTGTATTTCTAATCAGCAAATCATTGGTAGACAGAGAGCCTTGGTTGGTGTTATTTTTCCTTTTTTTTTCATTTATTTCTCTTTTCATTTGCATAATTGCCTTTTATTACAGGGCCTTCAGGAGAGAGGGGACTGGATGGATTAAATGGAGAACCTGGTAAGATGATCTTTTAGACATGA